AATAGAAATTATGTTGTAGAGCTTCATATATGAACATGAAAAATTATTTAATGGTACAAAAACAGGTTATGAAACACAACGATCACATTTCTATACAGTTATATTATTAGAAATATGGGAGGTTGTTCATTTAAATCTTAACACTTAGAATTTCAGGCTACCTTTACTCCCTTTGCTGTTTGACTCTTTCCACTCCCACCTATCAACTCCATGTCCTTAGAGAAACTTATTTAACCTTTCTCACTCTTGGCAAAAATGGAGATAATAGCAAAGTCTTAGAGGTTATTGTAAGAATCAAGCAATAAAATACATGTCAAGCACATGGTTTAAAAGAAGTATTTTGATTTTTTTTTTTTGGTCCTACACAGTTTCCTTTTTTTCTTTCATTAGCTGTGTCCCTATGCCCAGGATTCAAAGAGGGAAAGCTAAGTGGGCTTTTGAATAATTTCCACTTATTTTAATACAGACAGAGCTTTAGTTCCAAATACGTGGAACAGTATTTTCCTAAGGCTGCAGTGTGTCAGAAAAAGGCCATACTGAGTCATTGTTTTCTGAAGCCAAGAGAGGAGATTGAGTGACGGATGCTGATGGGCAGCCTAAAATAATATTTCATTCTTGTCATCCTTAGGCAGTCTAAGACAAAGTGATTTTGGACAGATCTACAGTTTCCCTCTCGGTTTGGGAGAACAAAGCTTTTGTTATTTATGTTCTTAAACAACAGCGCTTTGTCCTATACTCCGGAGCATGCAAAACAAACAGAAGATTTCCTGAAGGGCCATCCCATATATGGTGAGGAGTGAGCCCAAGTAGACATACTCAGCTCCAACCATTTGCAGAGGGCCCACATTAACAGCGAAAGGAAATAGACAAGACTCACAGGAGCACAACAGCCAGTCAGGTTTGGGATTCAGTTCTCCGATATTGTGCCAAAGTTGGTGGACTCAGCCATTCTGAAACTCCCTGTTCACTTGGGGCCTGCTTTGCTCTACCAAACAAATAGCCCTGTTTTGCTTTCCATGTCTGAGGCAGAAAAATGAAAATGGCAATATTTTGAGTTGTTTTTACGTTGGGAATTTCTGGTCCATAGATAATTATTTCGGATATCCCTGTGTAATCTTTTCAGAGCTGTCGAAACTGTGGAATAGGGCATAATTAGGGCTCAAGAGATTTCATTAATGGTTAAATGATTATTAGAAGGACAGGTACTGTATCTCTCTTCTTATTGCTCTTCCTGCACTAAAACAACTCCTGGCTTGCTACCATACTGCCGCACCCATGTACAATTTTCACTTAGCAAAAGGTCAAGTCTAAATAGAGTCTATGAAGTTGGGATTGATTCTGATTGGTAATAATGCTAGCTAGTAAGCACTGACAACTTGTACCAGGCTTTCTGTGAAGTAGTCTGCATGTACTATCTCAAAGATTCTCAAGGTGTGGTCCATAGATCACTGGCTTTAAACATTGATGGGTGGTGGTGGGCGTGGGCAATGAAAAGGCAGATTCCCAGATCCTACTCTACAGTCATGAGATCAGCATTCTGTAGTGGGAGCCAGGGATCTACCATTTTAGCAGGTGCCTTGGGTCATCCTTACGCACATGATGTTCAAGAGCCACTGTGTGATTTCCTAGTACAAGTGTGACTAAGTGTAATCTGCTTTCTTTCCACTCCTCTGATTTCTGTGTGCAAATTCTCATGACAAAAGTTAGACAAAGTATTATGGACTGTAAGATATACAGCAACCCATGTCTCTTTTAGTTGCTGGTGATTACAAATTGCTTTTGAGGCACTATGTGTGATATTTATCTCTATTTGGGAGGGTTGAATAAGTGAGAACTCTTTCCTTGCTTAGTGGTGGCCTGTGCTCTGGAGGTAGAGAGGAAGACTCAGGGGCCATGGAGGTGGGACTTACAGGTGTTGTACAGGTTGTATAATCATGATGGTGACCTTGCATGGAGAAGGGAACACTTGGCCTTTTCCTTGGCCCAGGGCTGTGCAAATAGGGCTGGCCTACTTCTGAGAGGGGAAGGTAGCTGATATGCGGGTATGATACCCTAGGGCCCAGAAAGGCCTGCCTACCTTCTCTCTTTGTTGTCATGCTTCATGAGGCCTGAAATGTTCATTGGTGGTTATTTCTCTGGTTCTCAGTTTAGCTCTAGAAAACCCCTATTGAAATGAAATGCCACTTGGAAGACAGCAGTAACATTTACTCATATTTTCACAGACCGGTTTAATCTGCTGCTCTGGGGATGGCACACAAAAAGATTTAGTTGATGGGAGGAAGGATAGGCTCCTTTGTGGGCCACAAAGAAGAAACTGGGGATCCCAGGGAGACTATTTTTGGGGGAGGAGTAAAAAGGGCTCTAAAGACAAACTGGACCTGTCTCACAATTCTGAGGGCTGTCTTCCAGAAAACACTGTTTCATGAAATTCTCCAGCCTCTTGCATCATTTTTCTTTCAGTGAATGTCCAGTACTGAGGGGCTGTCCCCATGGTCACAGGACTACACTGCAGCAGTGCTGCCGGTGGTGAGAGTCAGTGGCACAAGAGGCTCTGGGAGGGACTCTTTATGTCGGATTCTGTAGCTGCACCAGCAGAGGGGGAAGAGGCAGATAATTACCCATCTCTGAGTCTGAGATACCCCCTAACCCCAATGCATTCTTCTGCCAGGAGCAGAATAATTGCAATAAAAGACACTTAGCCTAGCTCATTCAACTCCTTGCCAGGCTCCATGCAAAGCTTTCAAACATACAATCATTTCTAGGGACTACATTGGGCTCCTCTGCATTTCTTTATCAACATGTTGAGAAGGACCAGAGATGATTCCTAACAGTAGCCACGAGTTTGCCTGTGGGTCCAATAAGCCTCAACATTTGACTTTATTGGAATTTTGATCTTGCAGAAAGTACCCTATGTTTCAATTTTCAGCATTTTTTTGTTAAACTGAAAACATCCCTCAATTTCCCAATGTTTATTTGTCCTCTAGTGCTAATTTATGTGGTAAGTGGTACTGATTCATTAATTTGCTCAGCAGGGAATAAACACCTTCCCTGGAGAGGAGGTGGCTGGGAAGGGGTTTCCAGTGAAGGAACTCATTTTTCTTGGTCTTCCTGGTGGGTGCTGGGGAAGGGTGTGCGGTTAGAGGGGCTGCATTTGCAGAAAAATGGCTGTGTGTGAGCTGGGGCTCTCAGGAATAGGAAGCATGTAGGTGCGGCGGGTGGGTGTTCGTGTGGCAGTGGGAGGAGATAAGGACGAAGACCACCCATAAGTAGTGAGTGAATGAATGAATGAATGAATGATTGTGTATAGAAGTCCATACTCCTTCTCTAGGGTGGCTGTTCCTTCACCAAGCAAACTCTGTTCTTTCTTCTGCTGCTTCTTAGTGAGCATATGACTCAGTTAATATTCTCTTGCTCTGAGAAATTTCTCAGCAATGGGAGGAGAAAATATAATTAGCTTCAACATTAGCTCATATTTAAGCTGATAATTCAGCATGAGTTCCAGACATGGTCCATGTATTTTGGATAATCAGCATAGCTGTGCATGATAGGTAACCCTCTTTTTTCTCCTCCTTCAAATCTCTTTTGGTTAAGTTACCGTGACTGAAGATTAATGACTTCCATTATTTTTTTCCCCTCATGCAGGAACCTCTAAACTAGTCTAAACTTTATACCAACTATCATATGAATCATGTCTACTACAGTTACCCCTTCTGTGTTACACTCTGGGTTAGTGTCCTTGCATGACACAGCAAAAAGCAGGGTAGGGTTAAAAGTGTCAAATGAGACCAGGCAAAAAACTGATAATTAACAGTGACCGACATACCTCACTGTGCTGTTACCTTATAGGCCTTAAGGCAAAATCTCACTTACAAATATTAGTTGAAATGCAACATGTGATGTTAGTAGATACATTTCACCACATCTGGCAGTACACTAATTCACCTTCAGTTTTGATATTGTGTATGTTTATTGCAGCAAGCTTAATCCTAACAAAAATGACAATTTTAATTTATTTACTTTTGTTTTTAAAACGTTTTCTTTGAGACAGGATCTCACTCCATCACCGAGGCTGGAGTGCAATGACACAACCATAACTCACTGCAGCCTCCAACTCCTGGACTCAAATCATCCTCCCACCTCAGCCTCCCAAGTAGCTGGGACTACAGGTGTGTGCTACCATGCCCAACTATTTATTTATTTATTTATACTTTTTTCAGAGATGGGGTCTTGCTATGTTGCCCAGGCTGGTCTCAAACTCCTGGACTCTAGTGATCCTCCCACCTTGGCCTTCTAAAAAGCTAGGATTACAGGGGCTAGCCACCATGCCTAGCTGACAGTTTTCTTTTAATGAGCAGTCACTATCTAATAGACTTAGTTCTAAGCATGTATTTGCCCATTTAATCTTCACACCAGTCTAAGCGGTAGTTACGTATGTGGCACCCTTTTATATAGGAGGAAACAGAGGTATAATGCTGTTAAGTAGCTTGCTCAAGGTCCAACAATTAAGAGTCAGAGCTGGGATTTGAACCCATGTAGCCTGACTCCAGAGTTTCTGTCAACCACCATGTTATACTGCTTTACATGTTGTTTGAAGCAAAGAAGTGATTTTAGCATCAAATATTAAGAATGCACTCCACACATTTTTCTTATTAAATGTAATTTCCAGTTTTTGTATATGTCATTGCCTTAATGCTTTTGAGAAACTTAGACAAAGAGCAAGACCATAAATAAATGGATCCTTCTGTTCAGGTCTCATTACCTAGAAGAGTTTTGACTACAATGTATGAGTACCAAAGGTTGATGGTTTATGTTAATTTTAAGTGTAATATATTTTAGAATTTTCTCACATGCATTATTAGAATGATTTCATATTTATGACCTTAGGAGAGGCTGATTTAAACAATAACAACCACGACAAAATACAACAAAAAATTTCCCCCCTGTGCCAAGAGCAAATTTCAATTTGAGGTCCACTTGTCCAGATAAAATATTTTGTTATCTGAACCAAGAACATGAGCTTTATCCTTATACTGACCACAAACTCCCATCTCTAGTATCATGATTTTTAATTTGAATTAAAACTTTTTTTTTTGCTTTGTTAAGCGGAGGCAGGCCTTCTTGCTGATTTTAAAAAGCAACTATTTTTATTTCCGTTTACTCTATAAGGCACTGGCTCCAACTGTCAGCATTGAAACTGTCAGCAGTTGCCTACCAGGAAGCTGGTTCCAAGGTCTAGGGTTTCCTTAGGTAGAGGCTGGCATTATGAAAATAATGGAGCTATTTATCCATGTCACCTGGAGTGGAGGTAATACCCTGCCAGTCTTAGTTGCTTTGACATGTTAACATGATGGGTCTGAATGTTTTCTGTAGTTTACTCATGAGTGACTTTTTTAGTTTACGTAAATAGCAAGGCCAGACAAATTAGCTTATGGACCTAGAAATCATTCTTGGCCCAGATTTTGAAACACTTTTCAGTTTACCATAGTTGTTCTAATACTTGAGAGTTGCTGACAGTGCTTGCTTCAGAAAAAGGTTACTGTCTTGAGCAATTTTTATTTTATTGGCATCATCTTAATTCTTGTTTGTCTGGTTGAGATGAAGGAAATACGAGCAAAGACTGCACTCAGCTATTTGGATGACCCTTGTGTACCATGAACTTCTTAGACACTACCTGATGTGATCACCAGAAAACATTAATTGATCGTGATAATAGGAGATAGTCTCTCTAGCCAGAACCTGCTAATACAAGTCTTGATGAATTGAGAATGATGCCTGCAGGAAGCAGGCTCTGACATGGTACATTAATAATTTTAGGCAAAAGAAGACAATGGTACTAATATGTATATTTTTAAGTTTCCTCTTCCATTGCTTTGTTTTGCACAGGGTAAATAAATGTACACGGCATATGATGTTGGCTCAGGGTGGATAATAATGAGACATGATTTCCTTTGTTTCAGGGTGAGGTGGCCCCTGCTATGTGACAGCTCCAAGTATTAGTGTATTTCAATCCCCAGAAAAATGTCAAGTCCCAGTAACATGTTTCAGGTTATCATGATTATGATGATTCTAGGAGGGTAAGGCAGTGCTGGTCTCTTGGGAAGTTCTCATCATGAATGTGTTTTGGAGTGAACATTACTTACTAACAGATGAACAGCTTGAAGTTGAGTCATACAAAACTTGCAGTGTTTGCAAGGGTCAGGGAGCCAGGGGACAGTCTGTAATTCGGTTGTATGTTGGCATACAGAATGTACAAAAGCTGTGAAAGCTTCAACTCAAATGACTTTGTGGATGGTTGTTGGGGATTATCTTGGGCAGTAAGATAGTTTTCTTCAAAGTTGCAGGAGGCAAAGTCTTCCTATGGGAAATTTCTGGACAAGAATACAAATGAAATGACTTAGATGCCTCAGTTTGGAGTATTCTTGGCCTTGTCTGTCAACAAATGGAGATTTGAACATGGAAATTCAAGGGGATTGTAATGGAATTTTATTAATGAGATGAGAAGCAGGGAGTCTGTGTTGAAAATTCAATAAAAGGCTTGTTTTCCATGTCAGTCTGGATAATAATCCATGTTATCTTTGACTAAAGGGAGGAACGATTCTAACAACCTGGCTTCCTTAGAAGTTTCCATTCTCACATAGTCACCGAAGGCAGCAACACTGTCAAATAAACAAAGGTTTAATTAAATAAAAACTATTTAAACGGAGCAGAAATATTCTTCCCTGGCTAGCTACAGACTGGACAATTCAAAGAACATACCCTGAGGGGAAATTGCCGATGGATTACTTTTTCTGTTTTCTGTCTACTGCCATGTTTTTCTTTCTGGTGTCAAATCTCAAGTTGAATTCAGTCAATTATCTACAGCCAACAAAAAGTGCATAAATGTCTCTTTTGTTATTGTTTATATTTCACCACTAAACAAAGCAAGTTTTTCTTCCCAGCTTCTTCCCTTAGGAACTTCTAAGTTCAACGACACAAATAAAATATTATGTACATTCTATCATCACTGTGAAAGCATATGGATTGATTTAGTTATGTACAAGTTTATTGCCAAAGTTTTTTTGTTGCTAATGTCACACTTGCTACAAAATCTATTAAAGAAACACAATTTGCTGAGGATTTGGGAGGATCTGTCATTGGGTTAAGCACATTAAGTATCTAAGGGGTGTGGTGTTTGGGTTATGTGTATGTCAGTTTCACATATTTTTTTCTTTCTTATTTTGGTTGCCTCTTTAATAATTTTGACTTTAAAATGTTTTCCACAGATCCTTTAATAACTGCAAATGTAGAAGTATGGTGTAACAAGTAGCTGGTATAACGAACACTAAAATGTAATGGGAAATAAGGCTAATATTGAAAACAAAAAAATCCTGGGGCAGGGGAGCAGTATTGATTCTCTCTTAGGATTCTTAAGATTCTCTGTCCCGACCCTCCTACCAGGGAACATTCTTATGTGGTCTAAGTGTTAAAGGCCAGAGGAGCTGGGCAGTAACTTATCTTCCCAATTTTCTCTCTGAGCATAGATATTTTCTTTAAGAAACAAAAAACTTTTAACGGTGCTCCGGAAACTCATCCCTGTCTTCCCTGTCTCGGCCCCGTTGCCTCTTGTTTCTGTGGGTGGGTGAAAAGCTTACCCATCTGAAAAGGTAGCTCTGAAACTGTTCTGGAACATCCTCTGTTTTCCTCCACAAATGATCGTTTTCAAGTTTATTTCAGATACATTGATTCTCCCCCCTCCTCAGACTTAATAACAAATGATCCTCCACACAATTGGAATAGAAAAAGGTAAAATAAAATCGAAGCATATTTAGTTGCCTCAGTGACTTCATGCTTATCATTTTCAGTCAGCGTTATTCTACTAAAAATAAAAAGAAAGATGAGAATTACCTCAGGCGTTCGCTGCCGTGCCTGCCCTTTGGTTTCTGGGACGCCTCGGGTCCTGCAGCGCCCCGGCACAGCTGGGATTGCCAAGCCGGGAAGAGACCTTGCTCAGGTGTAGCTGCGTTTTCCCCAGATCACCTTCCTCTTCCCCTCTGACAAGGAATCTGTGATTTTTTTCTGGCCTTTAGAAGCAAAGTGATTCCAGATAAGTAGATTAATGTGTAGAATATCTCATCTGTGTTGTTCCAGTGCAGCCCTTTCAGCTTTCCAGAGCCAGTTAGACTTGTTATGAGGAGCTAAGTGATTGGCTGGCTCTGGAGCTCAGTTTCATAGATTATAGCCCAGCGTACGAGAGGCACGAGTCCTCCAGTTGCCGTATCCAGAGGCCTGCCAGTTCCTGCCTTAATGCATATGTAGTCGTAATTGAGTTCTGACACGGCCTTGGATGTTTCTGTCCTAAATAGCTGACATTGCATCTTCAACACTGTGTGAGTAATCCTGACTTTTTTTTTTTTTTTTTTTCTAAGCTCAGTAAATTAATTACATGCCCTGGGAGGGAGTGATTGTAAGTAGAAAATACTGAACTAGCAGATGATTCGTTTTTAAGGTGCTGTACTATGTGTATCAAGTTCAAGGCGAGGAATCCGAAAGCTTCTAAGACCTGGCAGGCTTATTCCAGCTTTGTGCCATGAATCACAGTCAAGCTGCATTTTGAAAGAGGCTGTTTGATGCGTTTGCTAACTCTGTTTGTATTATGGGGTCAGTAAAGTGACAAAGGTCCAACAGGAGCAGGTTGAAGCAGGATGCTGGGATCAAAGCAGTGGCTTAGAGAGCTCTTGAGTCAGGCAAGTTTTAAGGTTTCCCCTCCCTTACTATCTCAGTCCAAAACTGAGAGCGAGCAGCAAATATCATAACAAATGCTTTAGGGACATGGGTACACAGCAGATAGAGCACAGAAAAAAGGAGAAATGTAAAATGATGGCAGCAATACTTTTCTTCACTGTAATCTGAAGCCAGCTGAAGACATACACTATGAATAACTAGAGCATATTTGTATGAACAAAAATGCTTTTCAGTGGTTCTGTTTATGTGGTAGAGGGCTGAATGAAAAACCATGAGCTTGTTTTAAAAAGCCTTATAAAAAGTACATTAAACACATACAGACAACCAAAACAGAAGAAAGTATGTGGATTGGAATTTGTGATTGGAACAGATCAAATTAAACTAGAGAAGCCGTTGTTGGGTTTGTGTGATTGCTGGGAGTAACTTCTGTTGCTGACAGGTTTAGGATAAAGCTGAAGCAGATTGAAGTGAAAAACTAGAAAACATCAGCATTTCATTACCTTCTATAGCATATGCTGCAGGATAGAATTAACACTGAGTATAGGCTGGCAAATGTGAGCAATTTACTTTTTCCTTTTAAATCATTATTGATTTCTCCTAGCCTATCATAAAAAATAATAGTACTTCTGCCTATGAAATTAGTGCTTAGAAATGTTTTTCTTCCTCCCAAATAACTTTTACAGTTTTTCTCAATACAGCACAAAGCTAGATCATTAAAAAAAAAATTTGGGTTGTTTTTCAAGTTGCTTTTTGTCTAATTTTTCCTCTTTACACGTATAGATACAAGTGTATATATGTTTGTGCTATGAATAACTCTCAAACATAAATCATTACAACAGTTTTAAAAATCACAGATTCCTGTGGCAAATATAAACTTCTAATGGCTACAGTTGGTAATTACTTGCCAATTCCTATAAAAATAACATTAGTTTATTTTTGGTTGCACCCATTTAAACAACTCGCATGATTTAGCCAGTAGGAGAAAAATATTAGTTGTGGCTTGCATAATTTTGTGTTAAGATCACACTGGAAATGCAAAGTTTTGTTGTTAAAAATGTTTTTGCTGGCTGGGCACGGTGGCTCATGCCTGTAATCCCAGGACTTTAGGAAGTTGAGGCAGGTGGATCACCTGAGGTCAGGAGCTTAAGACCAGCCTGACCAACCTGGAGAAAGCCCGTCTCTACTAAAAATACAAAATTAGCCAGGCGTGGTGGCGCATGCCTGTAATCCTGGCTACTTGGGAGGCTGAGGCAGGACAATTGGCTTGAACCTGGCAGGCGGAGGTTGCGGTGAGCTGAGATCACGCCATCACACTCCAGCCTGGGCAACAAAAATGAAACTTGGTCTAAAAATTTTTTTTTTTTTGCTTTTTGAAATATTACTCCCTTTTAGATCATACTAATGAATGAAGTTTATAAAAAGAAAGAAAAGTAGCCAACATAGACTCCTTTCTGTATCAACTGATTGTATGCAAAATAGATTTTTAAAAATGTAATTTCAATACATTCCTTTAGAAACACATTTACTTTAATGAAGAAACGGTATAATAAGTTCATTTACTGACGCAAAATAGCAAGTTGATTTATTGAGTTTTTGTAGACACAAATAGTACTCTTGGCTCATTCTTAGCTATACATTCCTAACTGATGTATTAGTGGAAGAAAGGAGTGCATCTATAAAAGAAATGTAATCCCATCCCTCAAGATGGTTTGGAACCCATCTAGGAGTAGTAAGTGGTGGAGTGGAAGCTTTATCTGAATTAGCTCCTGACTTCAGCTCAGCTCCTCTTTTTTCTTGGGTCCATGTGGCTCGCTTGGTGTGGTATTCACATCTTCCCCCACCTTTTCTGGCCTTCCTTATTTGAATTACCTTGCTTGGGCCCTTAGTGACACGAATCACATAAAAATGCTTAATTATCAAACATTAATCAGCTGCCTATAGAATTCAGAGGGTGTTTAAAAACAAGGCTCAGGGAAATGCTGATGGGCATATACTAGGAGTGTTTATGTCTTGCATCAGTACTTTCCTCTGGGACCTCCATCTCTTCAGTTCTCCCTGAGATGCCAGAGTCACATCTCTTACTTGTGAAAGAACACAGCTTTAAGAAAAGGAGTCAAGAGACACCACGTGCCCAGTGGACAGTGGACTGGGGGCAAGGCATGGTGAAGAAAGCAAAAAAAATCTCCCAAACAGCAATAGTTGACCTTTCTTCTATCCACTCCTCTCAATTTTCTAAAGCCATTTTTGTCTAACTGTGGAAGTTCTTTTGCAGATAAGATTCTGTAAAACCATGCATATCTGCCATAGACAGATGGATTTGACAAAAGATGTATCCAAAAAGGAATGTATCACATCATGAACTTGCTAAGTGTTCATGAATACACACTGGCATTTGGAGACTATTAACACTACCTACTGAAGTAATGACATAAATCCAAACTGAAAAAAATATTATTTCTTGATTGAATTACGTTTTCCATTGGGGTTTTTTTTTTTTGGCGAATTTTGTTTTTGGAAAACTTGCTCTTCCTTCCAACGTTTTTCCTGTGTTATATATAGGACTGATTTGATTGCTTCATCTTGCCCAAGAATTTAATTATTCTTACTTGGTGTTTTCAAAAGAATTACTGTCTACCTTGAGCATGTTTTTTAAAAAGCAGGAAAAAACAAAACAAATGAAACAAATGTTCCCCTTCCCAAAGGAAAAGCTCACCACCAAGGAGTTAAACGCCTTAGATTTGTTTAAGTCCCTCCTTTTGTGGAGCTAGACACTGGTGGAGGAGGAGCTTTCATTTAATTTCAAGACAATCAATGATTCCAACTTAATTATAACTGTGTTCTTCTAATTTCTGATTTAAAGAAGCAGAATATTTTGGTGAATTAATCATGAAGTCAGTGGGACCATGCTCAGGCTATGAAACGTTTTCTAAGCCTCAGTCTCCAGGTCTGTAAAATGAAAATAATGATATATGTTCCGGTATTTTACTGGATTGGTGAATATCCACATCACAACGAGAAAGTGTTTGTCAAAAGAACATTGTCATATGTAATTTGTAATGTGGTGTATAACTACACTCTTATTATGACTGTAGCTCATTATATTCCCAGTAATGGACAAAACTTTTGAAGCAATGAAAATCTTCAGTGTTTGATCTTAATGTTATGAAGGCTTTTGGAGCGTTAGTGCTGATCCATTTATTACTTGAGTATTAAAAAACCATTAGGTTCACTGTGATAAATGAATGTGGCATTGTATGTGAGAACATATTTCAAAAACCTCCACGTGCCATATAAATGTTACATATTGCAACAATTATCAGCATATTAATAAAAATTGTTTGCAAATTTTCAATTTTTAAAATGGAAAATGTCAGATATATTATTGATTAGATTGACTAACTTTCCAAGCTATGTCTGCTTCTCTCAAACAGGATGAATGTTCTTGTTGGTTTAGCTTGTGCCGTAATTTTCTTTCCACTTAGATATAGCACTAAGCCAATAGTTAGATAAGCATTCCTTCACAGCCTACATTTAGAACTGCCAGTGACGAAGTTTTGGAGGACATATTTTCCTCACAGGAAAAAGTGCGTTAGGAAATTTAGACTGACAGATGTTCTTGTTCTTTTTTTTTTTTTAAAATTCCTGTCTTGACTCTCATTATTAAATTTTGCTAAGGAAATAATCATCTAGGTTTTAAGGTGATGCTTACTCCTAGTAGGTCTTTTCATTTCTGGGATAAAATGGTCAAAATGACTTTCTGAATGATTTGAAAGATCAATTAGCAGTTTTGAATTCCAAATTTTTAGGTGGTCCTGCTTTAGAAAATTATTATCCTTTCTGGAATTAATGTCCATAGCTGCATCCTGTATTTCAGTGGTTTGAGCTCACTGCTGTTATACGTTTGATGATTTCCTAACAGCAATATAGGTTAGGCTAAAGCAGCTACCCATTTCACCTGTTGAATCCTTCTTTAAAAAATAGATGAAATTATAGACAAATCATGATAAGTAAAACATATTAAAATGGGATGGATTCTTTCCTACTTTTATCTCACACAGCTCACCCAGAAATTCATGAGGGATCTTCTAGGAGTGAAACAATTTCATTTGTAGTACTATTTGAAAACTGGTTCTAGGACCATTGACTTGACTTTTTTGTGTCTTTAGTCATGGATAGGCATACTTCTTCAGTAATTTAAAACTATAGTGCAATAATGTGTGTGTGTTTTTAACTTCTCAATAAGATTTTATTTATTTAGCAAAAATCAGGAGTTAGGTGCTAGAAACACAAAGATGAACAAGTCATGGTTTCCTCAAGGAGCTTATAACCTAGTAGACATTTATTTTGTGTTTGCAGAACTTTTAGGAAAATTCTCAAAGAAGAAGGGTTATTTATGAGGTTGCTACTCTTCTCCTCAAAATACTTAACTATGTTAATAATGGAGTGACCAA